ATATAAAAGTGAGTGTGTGTGGGGGAGGGTCTGTATCTTTGTGTAGACATCGGTATATACATATATTTAAATATATATCTATATATGTAGACCAATGTTGGTGAATCTGAATTGATATACCGTGTGCGCAAGGGCATGCAGTTTCCGTTTTTATTACAAAATAACCGTTTTTTCTTGATCATATTTGTCTCAACTCCGGAACCCGATTGCGCACATTTCTATTCTGAAACCTTCATATCTGAATCAGTATTCGTGACAGACAACGATCGCCAACAAGTGTTGGCGTTGCTGCCCAGGATTCCAGAGACCTCACTAGCACAGGTCATTCGTACATTTGACGTTAAGATAGATGACCCTCAGATAACGCAGAATCTCGCCCAAAAGGCTACAGAGGTATGTAGCTGTTGTGCTCGCATAGAAATGAATGCAACCGTGTCTGTGGTACTCTGTAGGTGTGGTTTCCAAAGGGTGGGCACTCGATTGACAAGGCTGTAATAATTCGCGGTCCAGGAGAGTGGCTATAGACTGCGTCTCGTCAGGCTGTGTGCGAATATTGTAAACTGCCGAGGTGCATATGTGCAGTGACTGATACTTTCAGTGCTAGTGAGCGTAGTTTTAATTTGCTATGAGAAGATACAATTTCGGTGTTGTGGTGATTGCTTACTAATCTTGGACTGGCCTGGCCTATTCGAATGTTTTCTTTTACCTAATTTGGGTTTGCGGAGGATTCACTCCGCTCTTGCTGGTGGCAAGTGCATATTAGCATTTGCTACCTATGCAGGATAAACATGGGCTCATCTTATATGTATGGATTGTGTTATATCTCGTCATGGCCGGCAAGCGTCGTCGTTATAGGTACGGCCTAGTATTATTAGAGGTGCATCGATTCTCACGTTATATCTCACCTTCATATCCGTATATGGTATATAGCTCTTCAGGGAGGATCCGAAATTGGGCCTGCGCTTCGCGATGCAGTACAATCTGGGCAAGGACATTGACATGCCCATACTCGTCGCAGCATTGATCCAGAATCAGGAAACCTCTGTACTTCAGAAGCTGTTTCGTAAACCGACTGATGTAGAGCCTGTTCTTCAGTACCTAGGCAAGTGGCGCATCGTGTTTGTTGCCAACATATGTGCTTTGATGTGTACGTTCTAGATTGTGACTACCACTGTGACTTGTCATCCATGATGGCGGTTGCACAGATGCTCTGCTAGCCATTTCTCCCATACTCTCGTTAAGAGCTAGTGGATGTGATCTCGCTCTTTGTGCCATCACACTGATTCTCATATCCACGCTCCCGTTGCATCACTCAGCATACATGTACATAGATGACGCATATAGACTAGTAGATCATTATTCGCCTTTCATCGTACATATGTAGGATGTATATCGGTTTCATCGAATAGAGGACTCAATGTCGCAATTGACGTTCAAGTACAAATGCCACCAATCGCGATGACTTACAATTATTACGCACAGAACGAGAATGTGAGATACTGGTCGAGCGCAGAGAGACAAAAGGCGGGAAACACACGCATATGATCAATTTCATCAAGAAGATCAACAAAACACAAATCGGTGGCGGACTCACAAAGCGGCATGTGGAGAATGGGGAGTTCAAAAACATGTTCCTGCTGATGGACATGGCCATGCTCAACTTCATGTTCTTCAGTCGCATGAAGCAGACAGGCGACATAGCCAACTGGAACGAGCTACTGGTCTTGTTTGGGAAGGCCCACGAGCTGTTTCAGTGTAAGCCTCGTCTTGTACCGTATTCTCTGTGCGTAGTAGTACACACCGCCACTGCGCACGTCTACGTTTCGGGGTACATCTACGCTGCCGTTGTGTATGCACGTTGTACTGCACCCCCACTTACTCTGTCGCTTATGGGACTCGGACCGTATTGTGCGATCTCTGCTTACTATCGACCGACTGTTATAGACAGTGTGAGGGAATATCGCGATGGTGTGCAATGCATGAAGTATTCAAACTGTATACTCACTGTACCGTACAGTAGTTGGAGCAGCACTTATTTCGATAGATACTCTCAGCTTGTATAACTCGACACGTACACTACTGAGGGTATACAGCGCATGGTTTGACCGTATCAGAGGATTACTAGATTTGTTCTTGTTACATACTGGTGTGTTCTGCCAATCTGAACATTGATGTTGAGCTACGCAGAGCGGAGGGTGCTAGATAGATGTATTAGCATCCACGAAGCAATCTTGCATCTAGCTACAACAGTGTACGTACCTGTACACCGCTTCAACATGAAACCTCAAACTTATCGTTGAACGATAAAACAGGACGAATTGCGTATATCATTCTCTGCGCATCTGTAAGTGCGCAAATATGTACTTGCATCATCGGTCTACGCTATGTGTAGCTTGAATCTCTGGCATTTTGTTGGAGTGCGTTTTGCCACCGATTCCTTATTTGTTTGGCATACGTCCCTGCGGGCAGATGACATCTTCGAGCGCACGAAACAGCACTTCCCTTCAAAGCAATGGTTCAGAACTCAATTTGGCGCCAAAAGTTACTTCAACACGTTGTGCGGCGGAGGCTCGCCCTACCTCGCACCGGAAGAGCCTTATAATCTAGGTACGTTGGCATTTCTTATCGAGTGCTGATACATGTAGGTATAGGCACCTAGGCACTTTTGCATGCACCGATTGATTCCCGTATCCAGGACTAATATGTATGGTTGAATGGCCATAAAATATGTATACATACACGAACATATACGTGGAAGAGTGTGCTTGCCCTTCTTTCTGCACGACACATTGATGTACGAAATAAAACAGCATCGCAACACTGAGTGAGGTTGCACAGCGAACATACGTATCTTCGTTTTCGGCTTAACGCGCATAGTTTGTGAACAACGTGCACGTGGATACCCACGCACGCACCGAGTGACAGCCCACAAACGCCTAAAGTGGGCCCCTCCAGCATGTACGTGCCTAGACCTCTCCCCGTGCGTGTACTGAATCCGTTCAAACTCTTGTACGGCGCAGCAAAGGACAGGAAAGCAGTACCCGAGGCGTTCCTGACCCTCTCCCAGGTGGGTACAATGCCTCTGCAACTATACATGGTGTCCACCCAAGAGGAACTCGATGCGTGTTTAACAACGCTTACAGCCGACAGCACGTTTGTAGGCATGGACTTTGAATGGTGTGTTGGGTTTAGGGTTGTGTGTGTAGTTCAATGTATGTTTTTGGATGTATATAACGAGATATACTCAGTTCGTCTCGGATATTTGTGCCTACCTTTTGTTTAAACCTGGCTTCGGAGAGTGTTGGGATGCCATTTTAACACCGGTCCAATTCTCGCGGGGGTATTCTTTTGAACCGTCTTTAAGTGGTTATTTGGCTGGCTGCGTGAGACGCTCAGACACACTTGCGCGGACCTATCGAGCGTGTTTGATGTTTTCGAAGCATACAGCGAAGGCTGACAGATACAGGGGACACATGAAGACGCACTGATTAGCAACTCACAACCGAGATACACAAACGTGTAAATATAATACACACTTGAGCCCATGCAGAATTCAGGAACAGAACAGCGTATTTAGTCCTGTTGAGCAGAATAACGTATATAGTAATAACGTGTATAGTCATGTTGAGCAGAATAACCTAAATAGTAATAACGTATATAGTCACGTTGAATAGAACAACGTATATAGTCACGTTGAGCAGAATAGGTTATATAGCCATGTTGACACAGGCCCAAGTGCGTCTATTGACCCTTTCAATTGTGAAATACCCCTGCACGGCATATGAAGGCGACCCAGACTATTCACAATCGACACCGACCGATGCGCGCTGTGGCAGTTGGCTACGGACGATCTATGCTTCTTTATCGACATGGTAAAGCTGCCAACAACCGCCATACAGCAGTTTGCAGCCAAATTGCTTAGTGCCCCCAACGTGACCCTCATTGGTAAGTTATTAGCTAGACACGCATAGAACTATGATTTACCAATGCCGAGTCGAAGTTTTTGCCGAGGGTGTCCGCGCATTTTTTTTTTTGAAAGTATATTTGGGAAGGAGTCTCCATTAAACTGGACAGTAGTGTATGTGGAAAGTTATCAACCAATATGAGGATTGTGGTGTTTTTATGCGGAAAGTTATCAACCAATATGAGGATTGTGGTGTTTTTATGCGGCTTGCTTGTATGCATGTCATATTTGCTTGTGTGCATGTCATATCTGCTACGGCACTCGTGCATCTGTCCAACACATGGGTAGGTAGCCACGTTCTATCTATATCCATGCGTTGCATCGATATGTGTGTACTCGTTGTCTGCATCGATCACTACGCTATGCACCAGTGCCATGCACATTTGTCCGAACATGTGTCGTCAGGCATACATCTGGTGTTTAATCAGGCAGATTTGGAACTGTGCGTAGCCGCACTATAAAGTGTATGCACATCCTTGTGCACACCGAACGTCACTGATGTTCACGCGACTATCTAACCAATTCAATGCATTTGTCCTCGCTAGGCTACGGATTGAGTGGTGACAGTGCGATGCTTAAAACGGCCACAGGCGACGCCTCAATCAATCTAAGCAATGTGCACGATGTGCAGACAATGGGGGTGAGTGGTTGTATGGGGTATATGTGGTGGGGGTGAGTGGTTGTATGGGATGTAAGTGATGGGCTTGTGTGGATGTAAATTGTCGTTAGCAATGAGGATTGATATCTGATATATGTTATGTCCATGTGGAGGCAGTGCTGCTACTGCATGGCTTTTAGGGTTTTCGGGTTTAGGCTTCATCAGTGCATGTCGCATACTTGTGCGATCGGTTGACCTTGTCCTTCACAAACACCCAGTACTATTCAGGAATGCATGTTCTGGTAGCAGCTATAATATGTCCTTGTCGAGGGCTTTACTGGGCTCGTCTTTCATGTTACGTGCCTTTGCAGTGAGACACTTGCAAATCTTCGTCTTTTTCTCAAGGTTCTGCGAGGCATGTTCTAATACTTTCTGCATGCATATTTTAAAGTATGAAACTGTGGTGTATAAGTAATGCGAACTGCAAACAAATGTATTCTGTAGGGTCGTGTCTGTGTGGATATTTTATGTTCTGTAGCCATTCATTCGTTTCCTCTCGAGGTTCGGCTTGCAACACACTACGAGATTGAGCGTTTATCATTCACATTCACAAACCAATCACATGCATATACAAATATACCTAACATGATTAACCACTGGCCACCTTGCTGCGCATGACAATCTGATCCGCCTCTTGTTTTCTATACACTTTCTACACTTTCAGAAACAACTGGTGGAGTTTTCGCCGGAGTATGATTTGAAGGGTGGGCTTAGCGGTGCTTGTAAAGTATGTTCTACCGACTGTGCCAATGCTTGTGCCCAGAGATGTTACTAGTCTCAAACGCAGTCGTATGGAGGTCTCTAGACCTTTGCTATGTCGCTTCACATGTAGTTCAGTCTACAATGCGTGAGTTGTATGAGTGTGTGTAGCCAATCGCTAGGATGTAGTTCCGAACTGTACCTATGTGGGACAGAGTTTCCAAAGGCCTGTTCCTCTCCATATGTCTCTCCGTCCGGATTTATCCACACATCTACGCTCTATTCTATAGTTCTGGTTTGGCAATGCCCTGGACAAGCGCAATCAGATGTCTGATTGGGAGAGACGACCTCTCAGGAAAAGTCAAGAGGAGTACGCTGGTATGTTGTACTATGTTCTTAACAAAGTATGAACCTTTGCGCATCTATACATGTAAAGGTATTCTAAACTATTAATTACTACGTATAGTACGCGCTGGTATGTTGTACTATGTTCTTAACAAAGTTTGAACCTTTGTGCTTCTATACATGTAAATGTATTCTGCTAGATACAAGTATCTCATGAGAGGTCGTCCGCATTTGCCACTTGGTTTTGACTACGTATTCAAACTTCGTGCTGGCAACTATGCGTGCCAATCGTTTCAGACGCGCACGGGTGTGTTCGTGTCACCTGTTGTCTCGGGATCACCTACGGGAGTTCTGCAGAATTTTTTTTTCGACGTAATTTCCGCTATTTACGTATTTACTTTTGTATACGATCGTGCGTATCACTGAAGTGCATTGATTCGACAACGGATACAGTTTGATGGACGTTTAAACGCTTTCTCACGCTCTTGCTTATCCCAATTGACCCTTCAACCACAGCTCTTGATGCGAAATGCCTTCTGCCCATGTACCGGAAAGTCAAAGCCAAAATCACGGAACTACAATTGACGAAAAATACAGGTAGGTAGTCGATTATGACAGATTATGTCCTCTCATGTTTGGTTTTGCTATTCATCGCATCGGCTGCTCGGGTTTTAATTCCGCACTTGGCACTCGTTCGGCTCAGGGTTGGACCGGCGAGGTTGATTAGCGAGGATGATTGAATCTTTATTAAGCCTGGACATCCATGCACAGGATAGATCTCTGTGGTTGGCTATAAAGTTTTCGTGCAATTAGAAGCGATCTCTCGATTTTACGGGGCTCTACTGTTAACAAGTTTGTACACAAGAGCGTCTTCAGGTTTGCGGAGTATAGTTGACTCTGCGACTTACTCCTGCTGGGATGCGTCACACCACAAAGATGCACATCACGACTTTGTATTCGTGTTTTTTTATAGGTAAAATCTCCGTAACTTCCGACGTAAAAACGGGGCAGAACAAATCTTCGAACCCAAATGGAGAGAAAAATAACTCTCAATCAAAATCAAAGCGGCCAAGGAAAAGGCAGCCCAAGAAGAAGGCTCTAGAGACTTGTAAGGTACAACCGGGCACCAAGAGGTGACATCTAAGACAACTAGACGTATCGCAAGCGGATATAAAGAATTAGTTAGCTGACTAGTAATGCGATTGATGCGATTGTCCTTTGCCGTTTATGTACTTGCTTCAATGGGATTTAAAGGAGTTCGGAAAACGGAAAATTAAGCGCTGATGTGTCTTGTAGAATAAGCAGGGATAAAATTGGCATCACATATATATGTATATATGTATGTATGTTTGTATGTATGTAAGTATGTAAGTATGTAAGTATACTATAAATATTTATATATATATATATATATATGTGTGTGTGTGTGTGTCTTTATGTATGCATGTATGCATGTATGCATGTATATATATATATATGTGTGTGTGTGTGTGTGAATATAATATATATATATATATGTGTGTGTGTGTGTGTGAATATAAAATACATATATATATATGTGTGTGTGTGTGTGTGTATGTATATATATTTATTTGTATATGTTATCGTTTTTATATTATTATTATTATTATTAATATCATTGTTTTTATTTTTATTCTATTATTCTTTTATTTTATTATTTATTATTATTAATTCATCGACTGTACTGGATGACATTGTTGTCTATGTGCTGGATATTATATTCTTTATAATGTCATGCGAATAATTTAAAATTGTAATACGTCTCAATAGATGCTGAACTCCATGATTCGCAGCACGATACTGATTATCTGATAAGATATCACGCTCAGTATCACAATGTTGTCATAAATCGTCCCCACACCAAATGCACAATATGGATTATACACCGACCGTGGTCGTTATGACCATGTTTATGCAGCAGTCGCCTTTCCGATGGTCATGGGGTTAACTTCTGTGTCACATGCCTGGCTCTGCGTCCGGATCCAGCCCATCTCATATTCCGCTTGATCAATGCTCCAGTCGCTAGTATTTGGCAGTGCGTACATTTCCTTAAGATGTGACAGTGAAGCCTTCGCTGCTGCACGAGTATGTACACCTCCGGCATCTTCGAGTTGTAGGAAGCCATGCGTCACCTTATCGGCCTCATGCAGATGTACCTCACCCCGGGCCCGTCTCAGCTTGCGTGCAAATTCTATCGAGTCGTCTAACAAGAGGTCATTCGTGCCAACGACAATATAGGTAGGCGGGAGCTTGCTCAGCATATCATCTGTGGCATGCCAAGGAGATAAGAGAGCCGAGGGAGTCACTTTTTGGCCCTCAGGGATGTAGGCACCCATAGTGATGGCAAACACGCTGAGTGGCAGCAGAATATCTGCCGCTGCATTCAGACGCGCCGGTGATATGAGCTTCTTAATACATGCGGCTGGATAGCTTGCCTGCAGTGCTTTAGGTAGTGGTAATCCCTCTTGTGCAATCTTAGTCCCAAAGCCAATGTCAAATTCCCGCCAGCGCTATCGCCTGATATGCAGATGTTGTTGGGATCATGACCCATCTGGTGGGCGTGTTGAAATACCCACGCATACATGTAGAAGCATTCGTCTAGCGCAACAGGGAACTTGGCCTCGGGTGCGAGTGAGTAGTCGATGCTGACCACCATCCCGTCTAACTGCTGAGCCCACTTCTTCAGATACGCCTGGTGACTTCGCGAAGTTTGGGCTACGAATCCTCCTCCGTGTATATGGAATAGAATGCCCGGTTTGCGAGTGCTTTTATTAGTAGCACGTCCCATATGGTCAACTGAGGGTTTGACGGATACATCGGGAGCTTGCTCCTTGCTCCATACTATTGGTATCTTATTCATAAAACTGGCTTGCAGCTTGTTCAACGGCAGCGTTTCAAACGTACCAGAACCTTTCTGAGTGCGAATCACACGAACTGTTATTTGATCTAGCAGCGGCGCTGGAACATTCGTTTCGATTGACTCTATCTTAGGTTGCCCACTCTCTCTACCCGAATTCGCCTCCGGGTGCCTGTGAGAGAGTTTGATGTCATCTCTAGCAGATACGTGGAATCGCACGCCAGCAGACGGGGCTTTAATCTGTAGCACACGTTTCATCCCGCTCGTTTCAAAAACATTCCAGAAGTCTTTCAAGAATTGCATATCGCTTTTCTGGAATTCTGTGACTATCTTTGATGCCCGCAAGTCCGCATTGAGGGCGTACAAAGGTAGCGAGGCGCTAGTTGTCATCTTGGTCAATACCTGTACTTCTCTACCCAGGATTCCACGGTTGAAGCTATTACTCGCAGTGAACGCCAACATGAAGTCCATCGTTGCACGCACGGCACCTTCACAGTGTAGCGCTTTCATCTGGCTATAGAAGCAAGTTTTGTCAATATTTGATATCTTGTTCCACAGCGCCTCATTTTGTGCCAAATCTCCATCGTTGAACAGTATATTTTCTTCATCGACCGCGGCCTCACATGCGAGAGAAATATCTAGAATATCGCACTGAGTTCTGAGCAGAATTATTCTTCTGGATATGGACTTGGTTCGATTTGAACCACATACGACTTTGGCGGCATTTCGTAGATATCTCAAGAGCATGCGCTATGTTCGAACGGAATCCGTTGCCCGGAGTGTTTTCGTCCAAGTCAACCCTGTGCATGAAGCTCGCTATTCCCCTTACCTTCGGATTTATTGTGTCTCTGATAATCTCTTCGAGTTCGAGTAACAGACTAAGGTTTTTCGATTTGCTCTCATATGCTCGTAAGCGGAAAGCACTCACTACACCAAGGTAAGCATTAAGGCGCATTATTTATTGTTCTATTTGCAGAGATCACATCAATTATATAGGAAAGTATTGCAGCCTTGTACTGCCAGTAAGTGCTTCTTACTGCCATAATTTTGTGTTTGAATTCATTCTTGACTTTATATTCTCAAAAAACAAAATTCCGGTGCAGGGTTCCCCACTTCTTCTGGGCCCGGGCAATCGGAATAAAAAATACAAATAAATAAATAAACCAATTTTACATCATATTTATCTCTTTTTTGAATATTTTTTAAAAATAATACGTATGTTGCCGTCTTGGCCTTGCTCGGCTGTATGTTAAAAGTAAATAATATTGTTTAAAATCCCAAGAAAGTCTGCGCCTTAGCGGCCGAGTCGAGCCGACATTACAAACTGGCATACATTTTCAGTTTTTCACTCGATGATTCGTTCGCGGTTTTCATTGTTGTTATTAGCTGCACTAGCTAAAGTCGTTTAAATCCCTCTGTGGAAACTTAACAAATATTTGACTGCTTAGTAGAAATTTTCTTCTCTGAGTCGCCTAACTCGAACTGTAGCTGGTTGGTGGAAGTCTTCTTCTCGGCGCTTCCTAATTCGAGCTGAATAGTTGTTTCTACAGGATCTGCTTCAGTACGGAAGTCTTTGGCCACAAACTGGTTCGACACCCACAAATAGATTGGGATCCCGCAGAGAGCGAATCCGGCACCCAAATAATAGAAATACTCTGTAGAAAAAAAGGGGAAATATGTCTAAATAAGTTGATGTGTACGGCTTGAATTCATGGTTTCGTGCAAAAATTCTCATTAATATCAGATATGAAAGTTACAATTGTCCTGGAAATAAAATTATAGAGCGCACCACAAACTTACCGATATGCCCGTCGTTCAGGTTGTCCGGATACAAGCCTTGCATAGCCGTTGTGAATGCCGATGTGAATGCACTTGACAATGAACCACCAATCAGAAGATTAAACGCCATGGCTACGGAGCGACCAGATTTGGGAGTCTGATCATAGCTGAAATAATACAGCTGAGGCAGCACCATGATCTCTCCCATACCGATGAGTGCAAAAGGAATAAATATTAAGAACGCTGAGATATCTGACATCTGCATCCCTTCTCCTGTGAGAGGATTTTTTGGCGAGCAATCCGATGTGTTCGCTAATACTGGCGCCGCTCGGCGCGCGTATTCCAATCCAGCCGCAATGAACATAGCTATGCTCGTGATAATTAATCCGCTCACAAGCTTTTGATTGCGTGTCACAGGTGATCCCTTTCTTCTCTCTACAAATGGATATAAAAATTTCTCCCAGATGGGTGTACAAATAATTATGGAGAAACAGTCGCCGATGTTGAAGAAAGAACCGTTGATTTGCGAAGATCCGACCATAAGATCCATTTGACAAGCTTGGGACATCATCACACCCATCATACAATTATACGAGATTTGAAATGATATGTTGCCGATCACGATAGTAGGAACCGTATCTAAAAATGCCTGTGCATCAACCCTGGAAAAGTATTGGCTTTTGTGATCTGGACACCCGTCCAAATGTGAGTTATTCAGATGACATGTAGTCAGTAGAAAAGTTGTCACGAACGCTGTAGCTAAAGCAATGTAGCCGACGACCTTGCCTGTAGTACCGGGGATGAATGCTTGAGCAAGCGCTAACCCAAGAGTAACGAATAGTAAAACCCAACCAACTGCGGATCCCAAACCTTTGAGCGACCTTGTTTCTGCCCCGAATGCTCCGTTATATATGTAGTGAATTAAACCTCTCAGTGCGTCTCCTCCTGGCGGTTTCATGGTGTATCTGGTTGTGCCGGCAAAGAAAAATAGAACTGCGAAAACCATAATGCCTGCGGCTATACAATATGCAGCAAAGAATCCATATTCTTGAGGAATGGATGGTTCCTGACCGCTTGTTGCGAGTGTAACTAAGTAGCCGAAAGCTACGGCGGCGCCAATATTAATACACCAGTAAAAGTACGCGAAGAAGGACTCTTGTTCGCGGGCTTCGCCAGGTATATCGTACTGATCAGCACCGAAATTGTTGATATTCGGCTTAATCCCACCAGTTCCAATAGCAATAAGTGCAAGCGTTCCGAACAAATAGAGACCATCATTCATGATTGTAGGGTAGGCTGCTACTGCGGTTACAAACGTACCGCACAGATATATGCTTGCAAAAAGAGCGATTGTCTTGTAGCGACCGAGAACGCTGTCTGCAATCCAACCACCGGCAAGAGGTGTTACGTAGCACAGCAGAGTAAACGCGCTGTTGATACTAGTCGACTGGAAATTAGAGTATCCTGTGTTTTCAAGGAAATTTCGTTGAGAGCCCGCAATGGTGTAGTACGTCAGGCGCTCACACATCTCAACCAACAATATGAACACACAAACCCGCCATAGTGTTTGTTTGTACCAAGGAAGTGCTTCTTTCATCTCTTGCAGGTCGCATTCATCGATGATTTCAGATGTACCGTTGCCAGTATAAGCACTGGTGGTGGCAGCGACACTGATGTCTCCTTTGATCTTGGTCTGTACGCAGCTAGGAAGTACTTCCGAGCCGTACTCGTGGGTTGTACTAGACACCGACTTGCGTTTGTGCTCTGTATTATCCAACTGCGTCATGGTGTCTGACTTAAAATGAAATTATTGTAGTGTTGTATTTGAAACTGAAAACACAGCTATATATACAAAGCCAACAGAGCATCGTAGCTCTATACACGAGGAATGCCGAAGTCATTTTACACTCGGACAGGGGAGGGTGGGGGAGGGTTTTTAGTTCACGAGTGGCATGATGGCGTAAAAGGTCACTTTATATCAACTTAAATTCTCATTTAAAGTTTTACTAAACGGGATACCCTGCTGGCATCCCACATGAATATTTGCGTTCAGGGGGCAAGGTCATTGGCCATGAAGCGAGGTTACCACTGTATCAAGCTGGCCTCTGCTGGTAAACGACGGTATTTACATCGACACAAATAGAAAATTATATTTATCTGGCTTTTTGAAATTGGTTTTGTTTTTTGGTTCTTTTTAAAAACAAAGCACCAAAAAAACAAAAAAGACGGACAAACAAATCAGAATGTATTTAAAAAAAATGAATTGTAAAAAAACCCTCAGGAGTCCTGGAAAGCGACTATTTTTTTAACAAAACAATTCAATGTCAAAGTATTTTAATTTATTCATGTGTAAAGAAATGTTTTTTTCTTCTTTTTTTATAAAAACAAGATATAACTCTTATCCGTTATCGTCTATTTATATATTTTTTAATAAAATAAACAATATTCAAATATGAAATGACTGGGGGCTAATGGCCAAGGGGAATTGGGATCTGGGGACTGGGCCCTGGCCCCTGGCCCTGGGGATACATATTTTTGAAACAAATATTTACATGTGGAAGTTATTTAGGATAAATCTGGATACATTACAAACACATAAATATGAACATACATAGCCTTCTGGAAAATTTATCTCACTGGATACGAACGCATAGCCTTATTAAAAAAAAAATCAGTATTTCAGACGGCTATTTACAATTTTACATATGATGAGACTCAGACAGCGCGAGTGAAGACACTGTGAAACAGACAAGAGTCTATGACAAGCACAGCTGTAAAAATTAAAAAAAATTAGTAAACACAGATACACTGTGACAAACGTCAGTTTCAATTATTTTAAAACATTTTACTCATACTGAATCAGGAGTCTCCGTTGGTCCTAATATAGTAAATATAGTGATATAATAGTTATTACTATTATGTATATACTCTACTCTCTTTCTCTAGACTCGAGGGTACCTGAGGGCCAAGAGTCAGTCGGATCTACCTCGGAGCAGATAACAATATTTATTTACTTTTTACCTTTTTTTGAACAACTCGCGGATTTTTTAATCGACTCCGATTATTTATTGGTTGAATAAAGTACAATTTTAACCTTAGGAGTTGTGCGTGAGTTGTGTTGTCACTGTTGAGTATATATAAATACTTATTTAGTTGTGACTCGTCACTTGTGACTTGTATGTTGTGAAGTTGTGCGTGTGATACTGAGTTTTCTAATTTATCATATAATTATTTAGTCTGTACATACATACTGTCTGACAACTCTTCTTGTTGACACACACACAAACACTAAATAAAAAAAGAAGAGAGAGAAGGGTGACAGGCGACAGCTGCCTCTTGATGGTTGCACCGCTGCAGAGCAGTGCAGGACTGCAGGCTGTTGCCTTCTCTCCTTCAGCCGTTCGGCTTTCGCCCTTCTGACCTTCTCAGTTCTCACTCACCGAATCTCTCTTGTGTGTGTGTGATTTATTAAATTATAGCCAGTGTCACTCACTCATCAGACTCGAGAGTGTATTGCCAGTCTGACTGTGAGTGTGCCACTGTGTTAGTGAACTGTGGAGTGTGGAGTGGGGAGTGTGGTGAGTGGTGACTGGGGTAAGTGTTCAACTGTTTTTAGGGTTTATCGCTCGGGAGTCGGGAGTCTCTCCCGGGTAGCTCATATTTAAAAATAGATATGACTCTGGCAGACACCCTGAAAATATTTATAGTTCTCTATCTGGTCCCAGAGGCTCATCGGAGTCTCAACTCTAACCCTCTTGTAGAAATATTGATAAATAATTAATGGTTCTCTGGACAAAAGGCAAATCAGACAAATGACAATTTTCCCTTGTACAAACAGTTATTTATTTTTTAAATACACAGAGATCTTGCTGTTTGCCGAATTTGCTTTCGACTATGTATGTGGACATTTCCAGAGGGCCGTGATTACCAATTTGCATAGCATTCTAAAAAAAACAGTATCTGACTGTGTATGTATGCATAATAAATATTTCCGTCATGTGCCGATAAATAGCTGGGTTGGTAATCGATAAACGACATGTAGGACAGGTCGTTTTGTTCTATTTGGTTGCACCGATTATGCAGCTGTCAGCGGACTTGACTACACTAGGTGGCGACTGACAGTCGTCACGAGATGTATGATGATGAGAAAGTGAGAGAGAGGCTCTCTATTCAGTGTCTATAGTGTAGTCTGAGCGAGCGAGAGTGAGTGAGTGAGTGAGTGAGTGAGAGGAGTCAATTATTTAGACATTTTCTCTTTAGCTATTGTAGACTCTCCCTCTCAACAATTTTAATTATTTAAAAGAACGTCGCGACATCTTGCGTATCGTTCAAAGACTGTGACGTTTTTCGTTTACCCCCCAGAGAGTTGTAAGAGGTCATGTAGGCTGTATTTTCTTATTATGCCTGTAGCCGGTAGCCTGAGGGCTGAAGCTGAGAGTCTGATTGCTGGATTTTCTCTTTACATATATCTACATACTATATAGTAGAGAGTAGGGGCTCTCTACTATTTGTAGTTATTAGTAGAGGCTAGAGAGAGAGAGAGAGAAAGTCTGGTGGACCGGGGGATCTAGACTTTGGAGGTCTGGACTTTGAACTTCATCCAGATCGCTTGCTGTTAAAACCAATTTAGCAGTGCTCGCAGGCCAAATTCGGAACATAAGTATTATCATATACATATATATATATGTATATATATATATATATATATATATGTATATATATATATATATGTATATTATATATATACATATAATATATATGTATATGTATATATATATATAATATATATATACTATATATATATGTATGTATGCATGCATGTATGTATGTATGTATGTATGTCTGTATGTATATATATATGTATGTATTATTTCCTTTAGAAAATCGCTTTGCACAGCTGTTCAGCTGAGCTGGGCGCCACACGAAGTGTAACCGAGCAAATGCTACGAACTTGTAAGTTTATGTCCGCATCCAAATTTATATTGACCATTAAATTGTATACCTCTATTGCATTTTATTATGAGCATTGCGCTACTACTTCTGTTGCTTCGCTGTCACTTGTAGATTCGTCTTGTGCAAGAAAATCGATGACTACTGCTCCATTCCTGGCCTTCTTGTTTCGCTCCCATCGTCCTAATCTGTGTTCTTGCCCTATTCCCGCTACTAAGTATCGCCCGGATTTTGAAAATGTCAACGAATTGATGTATCCCTCCTGAGTAGAAAAGCAATACAAAACGGGTTACCACCACAGTCACGCCTATACAGCGGCACTGTTCGATTACGAATCAGCCACTTCAAATTTGGGATCAGATTCGTACGAGCTTGCGCAATTATTGAGAATGCGAAACACACCATGATATAATAATCGTGTATAACACTACGAATATGTTGTAAATTTGTTGGTGTCCGTGAAAACGCACAAGACATCATAACTCAACATACCACAGCAATCTCGTTGATGCATGTCAGGCTCTTATCTTCGTTCAAACGCCATAGCTTCACAAAGCCCGTGTTCGATCCCGATGCGATAAGATCCGTAAACGGCATACACGCGAGCGCGGTAACCCAAGGTAGACTTAATATGGTACCTTGGCTTGTGCTAGTGATCCCGTCATTGTGCGGTTTCCTCGAGGTGTCATTCACAGGTGATGTGCCGTTCTTTTTGGGTTGTGCTTGTGCATTGCTGGCTTCATCTTCCGAGTCTGAGTCTGTTTGCTCTCCCTAAAAAAAACAATGATGTGATGTGCCATATGGATAAGAAAAACAAACAAACAGAATTCGGGGTTTTGCTTGTGCCAGAACGTGCATCCTGCGACTGGCCAGGTGTTTCCCAATGTTTTAGATACATGACATCATGAGTCACATGAAGTAACTGGATAACTACAATGCGTCATGTGTTGCGCCTGATCATCTCCTGTCGCAACACAACTTGAAAGTCATTCAATCAAATAAAAGAAAAGGTGAATTACGAGTCGCGGGCCACCCCACTTATGAGAGTATCAAGTATCAAACTTATAAGATTTATGCACATAATAGAGTTCCGTATATTCTCACCATAGTCCAAATAGGGCGTTATCGGCTACCAGACAACTTTTTATTTGACCAAAACAATATGGAATGTATACATTTCGCATCTAGAAGACCACAAAAGTGTTCGTTGCAGCTCAATGTATAATCTATGAATGAACACATCAGCTCCTACGACAAAATCGCTATGCATCATTAGATAGAGTACGTCCAATATACATACCAAGACCACACATGTAAGATCGGACTCCCCACGAAGATTGACAATATATCAAGTCTTGGATGCTACAAGTTGTCACAATATGGAAAAACATGTGATGATATCCTCTGCTTCTTGATTATCTTCAGATGTGGAAGCGTCCCAGAATAGTGAAGCAGAGTGGTTGAGGCTAACTTCATATCAGATAGTACACACAATTCTCAAGCCAAAGACCTACCTCAGGTATGTTCATGCCCATGGCATGTGCCTGTAAGACAGCGCTCGTGGGCTTCTTCTTGAAAACACTCCAGACATTAATGGTACCATCCTCACCCCCCGTGCACCAAATGTTCTCGTTCACCATGCATATCGATTCTGTGTTGCCGCGGTGACCATTGAACACCAGTTGCGACTCTTCAACAATCTTCCATAAACGGCATGTTCGATCGCGTCCCCCTACGCTTACGCATCTATATTTAGGGATATATTAGTGCATGAATAAAGATGCTACGCGCTTGATCAGAAATTCTGTGTGGCTGCACAATTAATGTCGCTAAAACAATACAGCTGATATCACAAAGATGTGTGGTACTCTATCCAATTTTTCGTTGCACCTTAAACGTGATACATCGAGTTTAAGGCAGCATGTACAATGGGAAAGACTTGTCACCAAATGGGAAGTATGTGTCAATATGTATAGCTGCCCAATACTGAGAGAACACATACGCATACATAAATATATATATATATACATATAATATATATTCTATATACTTAGTTTGACGGCATACCTCTCCCGTGTTAAGCTATCAATGGCAGTAAGCCCATCCTGATGTCCAAACAGGGTCTCAATGTAAGCCATCTCATCCAGGTCCCAAATCTGTGAGAAACAGTATGCTTCCATGAGCTATCGTTGTACTTGAACAGTATGTGTAGTCAACTATTCAACAACTGGGCAATACGGGATCATCACTTACGTATCACAAGTAGCCGTCCGACATACATCCCAAATAACCTCTGCACATTACAGTACATCTGCCGCATTTCAGGGAGCGCCAATAAGTACAATACATTCAATATCCCCTTGCATGAATACAATGTAGATAGAATGATTCACCATATCAAAAAACAAATACATGTTGATAAAATCACAGTAGATATACAACAGACAAAGAGGCGCATAGATCGCCACGGACAGTCCCGCATGGTATGGCGCCTAACTTAGAAACAAATAACGATAGAAGCATCGAAAAATGAAATACGAGTAGTACAAACACAACGGAAGGTCAAGATGTGCTGGCCAATACGGACAGTCCCAACGATTTCTACAACGCTTATAAAATCTATCTACCTGAATAAAAGTGTTTACATATCCTTCTCCCGGTAAAATTTAAGGTATATATACAGGGCTGAATAAGCAACAGTCTACATCATTTCAGCAAAACTCCTACCTTTAACGTTCTATCGAGCGAACCACTGTACAGTGTGTGCGTATTCCGTCTGAAGACCAGTGACGTGATAGCATCTCTGTGTCCCGATAGGGATTTGATGTGTGCGAGTGTGTCGGCGTTCCAGATTTCCACTGTTTCTTCACCACCCGCTGTAGCCTGAGAAGTGTGGGCACAATATGAGAGAGAATTCTTAGCGGTGTATGACACAGATGTGCACACACTAAGGTCTAATTCTGTACCTTACGACGTTGGTGTTACATGAAGTTTAGCATGTACCCGGTAATGGATAGGTTAGCATCGGGTGACTATAGTGTACGATGCAAGTCCTCTACGGTCTGGTAATCTGTGCAGAATCAATTCCATTGTCAGCACCAACATATATTTCATTTTTTTTCACTTATCGCTAAAAATAATAGCGAGCATCCCCAATGCGTGCATATCAGCAATCACTACTTATCATTCACTAGGCAAACATGCATTCTCGTACTAATCTATAGATAACTTGACAACAATATGGTTTTCCGTGCAGTCGACGTACCAGGTATTTGCCATCGGCAGTAACCGCCACAGCCATTATGGGAGTCCTATGCCCTAGCACTGAATCCGGCGCGTCATTACTGACGCCCTTAATAGTACCTAATCGCTTACCGTCCTCCACTCTCCATTTAATTATATTGCAATCCTTCGACACGGTATATAAGTACTTTTCGTCTCCTGACATGGCAACACAAGTCACACTCAGGTTGTGTCCTCGGACGCGTTTTATGAGCGATTGTGTGATGGTGTGTGTGCGCGTGTCGGCTATCACGGCATCCTTGAGGTTTGCTTTGTCGCTGTGCTCTTTTCTGAGCTTGTTGCCGACCACATCCGTATCTGAATCATCTGATGATAAGAAAAAACGGGTGAACAAAAACAGGTTAAAAGTGGCTCATAGATATACTATCGGTCTACAATTTGGGATCGTCAATAACCACGCTCATCACCTTGAAGACACGGCAGTGATAGAATTTACTGCTTCATTGCCCATCACGCGGTATAGACCAGAAGTAAGAACAGCCAATCTACGAATATAGTACAAATATGAACAGTAAAGAGTTATATTATATATCACAGCCATGTGCAATCGATTTCGACGAAGAGCGCCTAACATAGTTACCGATATCCGACAATAAAGACTCCCACCAGTTCCATCAAATATATATCGGGAGAACATAAAATATACACAGACACACTCGCAGACACACTTTATATATATATATATATATATATAAATATATATATAATGTGTGTGGTTATATTTTTGTGTATACATACTGATTCATGTATACATGCATATATTCGTAAATAAGGACATATATTTATATGTATACGTATAAACATACATAAATACGTATATATATATTTATATATATATTTGTATACATAAATATGTATATGAATATATATACATATATATGTTTATATATATATATATATATTTATCATATATATATATATTAAAATACTACGGGTATGTGGAGGTGTGGGTCAGTGGGTGTGTCTATATTTGTATCAGTATATATATATAAATATAAATATAAATATATGTATAAATCTATATTTATATACATATGTATATATATGGATATATGTAAATTGGTGTACGTATATATATATACATATAAATGCGTGCACGTATATATATATGGACTCTATATATACGTCTGTAATTGTGTGTGTATGTGTGAACTCATATGCGTTTGTGTGTGTATGCATATGTGCGTGTTTGCACGTATGTGTGCGTATAACTCTGTGTATGTGTATGTATTCAGGTATACCATCGTATACATATATAAATTGATGTCTTTGTGCCTATTTGTGTGCATATGTGAGTGTGCGTGTGCGTATATATAAGTGCGTGGATGTGTGTCCGTATGCGTGTGTAACATAAATAAGTATTTACAAACACAAACACACACACATATATATATATATATATAATACATATATATATATATATATATATATATAATTAATTATATATATATATATATATATATATATATGTATATATATATATAATATAATGGATATATATATAGATTAGGAATTTATATATATATATTTATATATAGATAATTAATATATATATATATATATATTTATATATATGCGTGGGCACTCACGTGTGTGATATGCATATGCGCATGCATGCAGATTGACATACACAAACACCCAACTGCCAAAGTGTGAATTAAGTATATACATATAGACATCTCGCGTGCTACCTTCACTTCCGTCCCGTTCGGCGTCCTCCATTTGCTTCAGCTCTAATAAATACTCCTTGGCTAATCGTACACGTTTCTCAGCCGCGCTTTCTTTATCCTCCTTCTCTTGCTCGTCATCGCTGAGTGTATTGCTGCCAAACCCCTGATCAGCGTTTAGATTGTCTTCTACATCGGATATAATGATATCATCGTCATCGTTGTGCTTGCGCTTATTATTGCTATTTATATTTGTATTTGCACTTGTATTTGCACTGGACTGTGTGCTCACTTTGAACCCTTTATTTTTTCCACCCCCTTTTTCCCGGGGTTTACTGGAGTTATCGATCTGAAAAAACGGATCATTCATATTGATTGTTATTTGATGTATTTAGAATCGAATGTCAAACGTTGGCGTATGTCTGCTTGTTCGATTTGGTTTGGTATTGTATCTTACGTGGTTATAAGCCGAGTGTACTGTATTGTGTATGTCAGAATGCACACTATACGATAGACTTATATCGCCTCTGGAATGAAAAACAGTTGATATTATAGCTATAGTTTGAGTGCAAATTGTGGTTCATCTAATAGAACATCCTACCAGTGATCTGATAAGAGTGTATTTGCTGCAATATGTACCATACACGTGCCCGATTCTTTTGATGTCTCTAAAATGTCGCAAATAAACTTTCTCTCCCATGATCATCAATGAGAGCTAGAATTTAAAACAAAAACTTGATTCCGAAACTCGTCGCAAATATGAAAGCTGTGGGTTTGGCAAAAAAAAAAGCGCCAAAACTGCAAAATGCTCCTCTAAATATACTCTCAAATCTCCAAAATAAATACTTATGAAATCAGAATAAAAAACAAGAGACGACTTTTAAGACCATGGCGCTATACTCGATTCTTTCAATAGTATGTGTGTAAACTTAACTTGAACTTGCGTGTATTGTGTTTGCTTACTGGTAACTTTAACTTGTGTGTATTGTATTTGCATGTTAGTTACCTTAAGGTTATTCGAGCAGTCGCGACGCACATACATTTACAATACATGCTAAAGAAATACTACACGCTGGCAGACGTGTACTTGATTTCTCTGAATTTTTGCTAGTGGGTCAATCTAACATAAACCTATCAAAAAAGCAATAGAATATACACTTATCGAATACATATACCCCAATTAGCTACTACACAGTTGAATAAAACATCAGTTTCTGTTGTCTCTACGAAACACATACATCATGACAGACGTTGACGCAATGGATATTGACATCAGTGGTCCGGTATGAAGTTACCTTTCTTTAAGAGTTGGCTGTGTGAGATATATCGTGCTCCGTTCTGATTGTATGCATTTAGTCTGTTCTCTCATCTGCATAAGCCGGCGGCTAATGAAATAGTTGGTTGCACTTTTAACACAGCACTGCATTCCTTCTCGCTTAAAAGAGTATTGCTCGCGCGTATCTACCATCAAGCAACCTGGACTATTCGGACGTATTCAAAATAGTAATGCATGAATACGACAGCTATGCAGATGAAGTAATATCACGTCTCAAAGTGCTCGAAGGTTGTTTGTACTCATCGGTACTGAAAGTAGCTGCGAAACCTCCAATACCTTTTCTGAGGTCGTTGTGGGCAGCGCAGTGTTTGTCGAGCATTTGAGACCCTCGTATATGCGTGTGTAATGTTTGGTGTCTGATGCGCGCATTCATCGCAACGCCGACTAATAAAATCCACAGATCTGAATATACTTGTGGCAGTCTTTTTAGCGTTATCTAACTGAATACACTAGTTACAATCCTGGTTATTATTGCATAGCCTTATCACTCAAGTGGTTCCTGCGACGATCACGTTCAGATTGTCTATATTGACCACAAATAACACAATCACGATAGTGGTGACACGATCCAGATATATTGTTCCTGTACTGTGCACATATAAGTAAAGAGAGGTTATACGCTTCTCCGATCTCTTGAGTGTGCTATTGTATGGGCTAACATGGCATAGTCCAATTCGTAGTCTGTCCTTGCATCGTTTCCGCAGATCAGTAGTGTCTGTTCGTAAGCGTTGTGGACATAAAAGTTCATATGATTCCAGTGTCACGCTATAGGCCTTGACAGTACTCCGACTGCCGATCTTGCATTACAATGTTTCCTGTTTCGATGTATATATAGATATGGTGCTCACCCACATGCCAAACGAATCACTATTTAAACTACTACAATATACAAGGTATTCGGAAGATCGCACTGACCTTGTATCCGGTTATTTCACATCTCGACTGTACCTCACTACGTCCAAGAAGATAGGTCAAGAAACACGCTGCATTTAAGAGCTTTGAAACATTTGCGATACAGATAAGATTTCTGCAGTGCTAATTGGCCTCACTAGATGCCACATATCTACGTGTGGGCCGTCATTTGGACAAGCACGTGAATTGGACTAAGAATATATTAGCCTACAAAGACATGCATGAGTACAATTCGCCGATAGCGTGGTGGGGTGAAGGGCTATATATACATATATGCATATATATATATATATATAAATATATATATATATATATATATACTATTATAGTACACACATACATATATATATATATATATATATATATATATATATATATATATATACTATATATTATATATATACTATATATATATATATATACTATATATATA